GAGGAAAAAATGTCCATAGGCAATTGATTGTACCGTGTAGTTTTGGGTTTGATCCCGTATAACTATTGTATTCGCCAGGGCAGCAGTGGGTGCCTGGAAACCAATCAGACAAAAGAGCAAACGCAGAACAGCACGCAGCCGCAAAGAAAAAGGTCAGTATCCACAGATAATATAGATATCTACTTTATTGTACGGTGACCAGCAGGTCAACCTATCCTTTTCTCTCATTTCTCTGTTACATCTTCTTGTATTGCCATAAAGTTGAAAATTCAATGAATAAATTTGATAATTTGGTACTCCAAGTTTGGTACTACTTAGTGCTGAACAACCAATAGGTTGTTCTGCTTGCCACTGTACAACGGACACATAACCGGATACTAAGGGGGGAATGGGTAGGTAGTGGTGCACATTATGCCACTGTACAATGTAACACTCACTTTTCACTATTTATGTTATGAGTCCCATGTAATAGGGAGTGAGCCTGTTGCCATATACCGGACACAATTAAACTTTATGATATGAAATCTTTTTAGTTTATTAACCTTCTACTTAAGCAATGTTGGTCTAGGGTACAAATCCAATGTTGTTTAAGTACTAAATCTTAGGAGAGGAAAATAACAATGCTTTATTAATAGTTTTTCCTTAAACGTGTAGGTAGAAGAGTGTAGCCTATACATTTGATACAAACTATGAGTTGTGACACTAACATACATACTTCGTAAATAAAATATGAACAGTGCATAGTACCAAAGACAGAAAGAAGAATCGATAAATTCGTGAAATGGAATTAACCCGCGAGTGGGCACGTTATGAGCATTTTATCGCTCGCACTAAAAATCCTTAATCGCTTTTAAAAACAACTGCCCGATAGTTTTCACTTTTTAGGAACTGCCTCTAGTTTCGTTAGTAACCTCTCGCGTGTTTCTCGTACACACGGGTGTACAAGAGAGTTGAGTGCCCGTCGCGCAATTGTACACACGGGTGTACGAGAAACGCGCACCAATTCGATATTGTTTCTGTGACGTATATTTTCAAGTTTGCAACCCGTTCTTTGTTTGATTGAACAGAATAGTTAATTCGCTTTTCTATTAAAATATTTACCCGTGTGTACGAGAGGCGCGCGAGAGGGTAATGCGTGTTCAAAGATTTGAGGCTGTAAGGGCGCTGGGATCGGTTGAGAATAAGTTTGTTACCACCAGGTTTCGCCGGGCGCCACGCGCCTAGTGATGTTTCGCAAAAGGCGCGCCAACTCTAGGGTTAAATTATATTTACAGCAGCTGTAGCCAAATGCCACTTAAGCGCTTGTCTACAGAGAGAGTATAAAACTAAATGAATGGGGATGACACTGACAAGTGTCAAAATTTACGTCAATTCCATATAATTTAGTTTTCTACTGTACAAGTAGACAAGCGCTAAATGGCATTTGGCTACAGCTGCTGGGTAGAAAATCTAGATATAGCTTCTCTTAGGGCTGATCTGATTTATCCGACGCCAGATAAATAATAATTTCAACTAAGAAATAACTTTAACTGACTTTAGACTGCCTCATTGGCTAAGTGGTCGCAAGTGCGACTGCCGGGTAAGGGGTCTCGGGTTTGATTCCCGGGTCGGGCAAAGTATTACTGGGCAAACCCAGTAATACTATGCCCGGTATATGGCAATAGGCTCACCCCTTATTACATGGGGCTCATAACATAAATAGTGAAAAGTGGGTGTTACATTTTACAGTGGCATTAAGTGCCGTAATGTGCACCTCTGCCTACCCCTTCAGGGATAAAAGGCGTGACGTTATGTTATGTTAAATAACTTTAAATATTTGACATTACTTCAATTCTATTCAACAGTTCAAAATTAACTGATGATTGAAAAATCGGCTTTTATGCCCGAATACTGAAACGTTACTCAATTTTAAGTCGCGCTTAAGTATAATTCTGTCTCTACAAATTCTTTGTAAAATGACGGAGATGGCACGATATTTAAGTACGACTTAAAATTGAGTAACGTTTCACTATTCCGACAATAATGTGCTACTAGCTACAACTGTGACTGGTTATCATGATCGAATTGATAAAGTGGATATTTAGTCTTTGAACTTATATTGTGTGTAATCTTGACACAGAGACGGAGAAAGCGGCTCAAGTTCCACCAGCCCAAGGTGCACACGGGACGGAAGTACCGCATGTGGATGCTCCAAAAAGAGCTCATGCAGCAACAACAACGGCGCATGCTCGAGGCATCTGCTGACCAATAATGAAATACAGGTACGTACTTATACTAGTTGAGGACCTATACTCGGAATTTTAATTCGATTCCAGATTTGACAATTTCAGTGTTGCAACGTTATGACAAGTACTAAATAGTGACGTTGCGAAATTATTCGATATGGAAATGCAATATTTCTGGATCGATTCTTCTCGTTTATAATTTTACTCTCGTTAACTAAGGATATCAGGAAATTAAATATTTCTGACCGATAATTTAGTTTTGACGATTACTTAACGATCTGAGACTTTTCTTTTATAATTGTGTGTGAAATAACGAAAAAAATGTAATCATGAAGGAACATGACAAATAAAACAGATAGATGTATTATGGTAATAAGTCATTTTATAAATTGTCGCCGTCATCGCTATCGCTATCCTGTCACTTTCTGTAACATTTGTTATAAAACACACACACTGATTGTTTATCGATTTTTGCGTCCATCACTACACTATTATATGTGGTATCATTATTTCACAAAATGACAGTAGCTATTGTCAAATCTGGAATCTAATTAAAATTCTGACTATAGTGCAAGTTACTTTTACGTTACAAGACATCAGAACCAACCAATCAGAAGGCTAAACATGGTAACGTTTCGATTTCGATTCCCTTTAACATTAAAAGAACTCGCATTAGGCCGTCTGTAGAGTTTATTATTTTATCAATTGGGTACTTGCCAACAAGTCAAATTCAATACTTTTTCGAACTGTCAAAAACGACAGTTTCCTATTTTTGTAAGAGATTGTGTATTGTGACGACGTCACGTTTTTTTAACGTCAAACAGCATACTTATTTGTGAAAATTTTTCTGGAGAAATACTACAATTAAGTTGGTCGTAAAATTAATTAATAAATGTGTGATTAATTTTTAATATTTCATTGATTTCAAACAATTTGAGCACTTCCTAAGAGACTTTCTTCTTTGTCACCATAAGATCACCCCCATACCACAGTACTCTTAATACAGCTGGTATAAATACTTATAACATTAAAAATTATATGTTCCTCTGCACCTTAAAAATTATTAAAATAAAAACAATCATTCGGGGAACAAAAACAGTTTCAGGTTTCATAATATTGGCCTAAATAGTACAATATCTACGTATATATGTTGGAAAGTCCTTGAATAACAAGTTTTCACTGCTAAACCATTGAACTCAAATTGACTGCAAATAATTTAAACTGTACAATGTATTTAATTTATACTACTGTACAATGTATTTAATTTACCTACTGAATTTATATACATATATGCATTTAGTATATGCAAATACTTGCACACAATACATTGTTTTTACGTAATATGCTTGTTTTTTAGTTCATACAATAGTTATGTTGATTGCAATGTGTTTTTATTTTTTGACCTCCCAGCAGTATTATGTCATTTATGAGTCGTATGTCATATCAAGATTAATAAACTCATGTGTTAGGCAGAATTCTTGAGTATGAATGTATGAATAGACAATAGACATACATGGAGACGCAGTCAGAGAAAGAGGAGAGAAACGTGGTGATATGGTGTGTGAGGGTTACACGGTGACAAGGGGGGAAGGGGGATGGGGAGAGAGGGAAGAGAGAAAGATAGATCAGACAAATATTTGTTCCTTACTCGCAACTAACGGTATAGTAGTGTGTTCATTATAATGGTCAATTCTTCATTAAGAAATTGATTACGGTTATTTTACTTTTCGAAGTTCTATAACTTCGAATGTAAAGTAAAATACTTCCATACGATTAAATCTAATTATAACTCAGTGCTGATTAATAGGGCTATTTTTTTAAGTGGGGAAAATCATAGAATTACTTCTCCCGCCTGGGTGAGGCGGGAGTGTCAGACTTTTACTAACTAAAAACCACCCCGGGCTCCAGCCAGGAGAAGTCCTGCCGGAGCCCCGGTAACCCGTTAGGTTCTCCGCGACATTAATAGGGCTATTAAAATAGAAATAAAAGTTATTATCTTTAAATACATCGTATCTCTAAACCACATATATGTATAATTGCAACTCACCCACAGTAAATCTTAACCATTTTCATTATGTAGTAATAAGAACATTTGATATTAACACATACATGGTGTTTGTACAGCTGTGTTCTGCGCTGAGCCTACCGCCGGCGCAGTATGTGACGATGAAGGGAGTGTTGCTGCGCCGGCCGGCGGCCGCCGACGCTGACGTGGACATCGCCGTACGACACTACCTACACTCCGCCGGATGGATACGTAACTAAACCAACACCCTGTTTCTCAACCATGTACGACTAACACATTTAGCGCGCTGTCTCATCCCCTCGTCTCTTTGAGGTTTATGCCCGAAATTAATGATTCAGTATTTCAATCCGACCTGAGGAGAGACCTTTTTTTTGATGTCGGGTGGAAACCTTCAAAAGGCGCCTTGCCTTTTGGGGAGAAATAGGGAGTGTGGGATTCTTACCTCACTAAAATCAACCCGGTGGCCAACCTCAGCACCTGTAAGGGGGCACCGGGTCCTCTGAAAAGACCTGCTCCGGAGCCCCCACCGACTTGAGGACCTAGTGCGAGTTTGCATTTACGTTAACGCAATCGACGTATTGATACCGTTCGGCGCTCTGATTGGCCAGCTCCAATGGAAGGCTACCGTATTTTTGCTCACCAGATGGTGCAAATGTATGAAGCGTTCCTTTTGTCCGATCACTGCAGCTCTTGAATATTAATCCGTCGTTTGTCGAAACGTGGATCCACGCGAGACACAATGTACTTTCTATTGTGTCTCATATCGGTGCATTCAAGCCGTTAAACATCCAATAGTGCGACACTAGATTCCCTATTGGATGAAAAACGAGAGGTTTATACTAGCGTCATCTGTTGAGTAAAATACAGTAGCCATTAACTAACCAATTAGAGGGCTAAATGCGTTAACGTTTTGAGTTATTCTAGAGAAAGCTCGCATTAGGCCCTAAGAATATTAAACAAATAGTCTGTAGTGTCGAAACTAAAAGCATGACGTCTGTATTATTAATTTCGGGCATAAATACTAACAACGTATTTATCGAATAGATGTTACAACGGTTGATTTTATACTATGTAATCTCTTGTTATCTCCCTCCAATTATTAACGACAGGTCATCGAATTAAGTGCAGTTTCTGTTATAGTTTATATACATAACTAGTTGGAATCTAGCAAGGCACTGATAGATCGCTAGATAATATATTAAATATAGGTATCACTGTTATACTAATTAATCAAGCCTTGAAATTTTATAGCGCATTTTAAATCCCTCAACGTTCCTTTGATGGCGCGCTTAAAGCGACTACCGCATGTACAAAGTTATTACAGTCTTACATTGGTTGTGAAACAGGAATTTCAGTCGTATTCATAGCTATAACTATTGTTTCATACTTATATCTTTAAGCAATTGTTGATATTTTCATATAGGACACATGTAAGTCGACATGAATAGGCATTTTTTTGTAATTGGCTTTCATACCTAAATAGGGATTCAATGTCTTTTTTGAAGTCCTTTTATGACCATAGTCATCTTATCTGGTCGCAATGTCAAGTGAAAATTGTGTGAAACCCTGTGTGTTGGTCTCAACAGCATATTTCCATCTTTATCTTGCTTTATAAGAATACTATATGAGTAAAAGAGACAGCATTCCTTTAGTCAACATCACAAACAATGTCTATTTATCTCGCCTATAGTAAGATGTTATGCAGTCTAGGTGCTCGTTATGTTTTATAGGCATTAGTATTCATTATTTTTATTACTCCTTTCTTTCCTATTCCTCCTGTGTTTTCAATTGTTACCTTGCACATTCAAGAACTTTCATTCGATTTTCCACTGGCGCCACTGTAGTTTTTGGTCTTGTACGAACATAGTGTTCACAAAATATGTATTGAACTTGTTTTTAAAGAAGTATTCTACTTTAATTAGTATGTTTCACGAAAGTTGTAATACAAATAAAGTATTCTACTTCTTATTATTATTACTTGTACCATAATGAGTATAATTTGCTATTACACATTGTGATTTGTAAAATTGTTTCTTCTTACTTAGTTAAATTGACAGTTGTGTCAATGTATTATTTTGCACGAAGGTAACCTCATGTAAGACTGCTCTTATAGAGCATTGTAAATAATGCCTATGTAAATATGTATTGTTTTTAACGCCCGACTGTACGACAAATAGTTAAAATTTTTTTTTGCTTTTCCAAGGTAACCTGTGTCACGGTGTCACGATTTATTACGTCCCAATAGGTTTTTTGTTTGATAGTTTTCTATTTTAATGGGATAAACTGGCAAACGCCGATTGTTTACCATCAGGATCGCCTAATGGTCAGCAATCGGCGCCGACCATGGACACCTGTAACATAAGAAGTGTAAGTAGTACGTTACCGACCTTATGGGGGTTAGGAATTTGACGATTGGGATTGGGGTGAGGATATCTAAAAGAAAAATCTATAAAAACGTTGATTATGTAGTGATTGAGGGGAACTGTTACAATTAATTTTATCATAATTCTTGTACTGATGAATTTTACATAAAATTACATGCGAAATTAAACCTAGAAACCATACAAATTAGATCTTAATTGCTCTGTTCAGTCGGGTGTTACTTTATGAATATAACATATTATTGTCCGATGCCTCTTTCCCAATAATAACAGCAATAAAGAGCATTGTGTTTTGATGGCCAACAATGTGTATATTTAGGCTTATTCAAAAGATTAACGTACAAATTAAACTGAAAGTGTAAAGCAATCTCGAATGTTTTCGTGTTGTGAATATAATTATGTGAAAAAAAATATCAATGTGTCTAATAAGCATAGATTGAGTAAAAGAGAGCTAGTGCTTATTAAAAATTTTGTTGTAGAAGGAGGCATTTGTTTAAAGCCTTCCCAAGGCCCGTGTCATACTATCATACTAACTGTTTCTACATACAAATAGATAGGTTATATTGATAACCTAGGGATTGCCCCTGCCCCAATAATATTGCCAATCTGTTATACTGTAAGTACTCAATTTTAACGCCTTCCAATTTGAATTCTATTTTGTACTCATAAAGGTAGAAAAATGATATTTGCAATATGTATATGGTGCAGTCTTTTTAACCTTTATCTTATACGCAATAGAATTCAAAATAGCTTATCATAAATAGTTAAAAATGCGCAACCTTCTCGTCACGTATACGCGATTTAGTTAATTATTTGTTGCATTGCAACTTTAGTATGTGTCCGAAGGTACCATACTGTTAGCTAATTCTAGTTATATTAGGTAAATATCTACATTTAATACAGCACAATAGTATTCCGTTACGGTGTGTAACATAGAGTACCTGATGGCTCCTTGTGACACTAACCAAAGTAGTTATAAGGTTTATTTTAGCGAAGCAATTTACATTTCAGTTCTGCCAAAACACACTATATAATGTCACATCACCGTTACTGCTTTGTCAAATTATTTTGGACTTTATTAGTTGGTATTAAAATTTTTTGTTAATATTGTAAGCTGGTAATACCTCTTTGTTCATCTTTAGGGAGCTTTGCCTAGTATGTAACGAAAAGTTAGTGACTAGTAAATGTTTAGACACCTTCAATAATTTATTTACTAGTTGCACTAATTGTGGTAGAAGCTATTTAGTGTGTTTTGACTCTAAACAGATGGGGTGTGCATCAAAATGTGACGTCATTGTCATTTTTTTGATAAAACTATTCTGTATGATTGGATATCTTATATTTGTTGAAATATCAATTTTTGTCATGTTGTTCGTAAAATAAAATGTATAATAAAATTCTACATCGAAGTCCAATGTTACTTAACTTTTGATTAGTTGTAACAATGGCTGTGGTAGATCATAATTTATGTTACTATATAATCTGAATGTATAGTAATGTCATACATTAAATAAGGTTAATGTTTTCCCTCATATGATATGGAAATAAAGACAAAATTGTGAAGGTTTAGTAAACTTCCACGAGATTTTAAAAGTTGAGTGTTTGTGAAGTTATAATATTATTTTGATCTCTCTTAATGTTTATCTGCATTTTATTATGATTATTATTTAAAAGTATAGTTTTATTTATTAACGGAACTAGGTTTCTCCGAATGATTCCAAAAAGTAAAGTAGTTAAGATTAACATTTCCTATCAATTAATTGAATGCGTGTGCTTACTTCTTTCGGGGTCGTGAGCTGCGAACGAAAGTATTTTATTGATTTAGGATGATTGTAAATTCTTGCAATAAATTCTTCCATATTAAGTAAACGTGGATGATTTTACCATTATTTTCGTATTTATGGATAGTTAACGAGTGGTAATGCATGGTATATTAGGGAACGTATGAGTCACTAGCGATTGGTTCGTGTATCTGACTGTGTCGCCTTCTTTAAGATATTTTCTTAGCGGTTAATTAAGGGTATCTCTGTGCATTCACTGTTTGGCTCAAATGTACATAAGATTTAAAGTACAACTTGATATTGTAATTATTACTGATTTATAATTTAATTAAATGGTAAATACATTATGTTTTGTTTTATTTCATTTTCCAGAACTAGTATTTATTTCAATTTGTTCATAACTGGTTTTGGCATATCTTGTAAAGCAGCTGGCTGGGGTCGGTTGTGGAACCATTGATGTCTTAATGCCTGAAAAAAAAAAAGATATATTTAAACTATTAGGTTCGTCTCGTTGTTATATACTGGTCGTTGTCAGCTGTATCAGTCGAAATAAAATCGATCTCATTACTAACAAATATTACCTGTTTAGCGGGTATCCTCTTGTTCGCATCGTACATTATAAACGATTTGACAAGGTCTACAGCATCTACCTCGACTCCCGGCAGGAGTTCTGGCCAGGGCGTGGGAGAAGACTCGGGAAATGTGATCTTGTGGAAGTCTGGCAGCTCTGAATGTCCAGGCCAAGTCTCTTCAGTCGGTGTCCCAAGGTGTTGAAGTACTATTGCTAGCTGTTCGATGTCCGATTCACCCTAAAAAAGAGATGCCAATACCTAAAAAATTGTTTTGACAGCATTGCGAGCAGCGCTAGTGTAACTTTTGGTTGTAATCGTCTTGGAAAATTTAACAAAGATTGAAAATTCGAAGGCAACTTAGAAATCAAGCTTATGTAGTAATTGACATACAGCAAATAATGGTTGCTTCGTTATCAATTCTGCTAAAATACAACCGACAGCCCACAGGTCCACTTTCTCTGAGTAGAATCTAGCACCATACAGTAGCTCGGGAGCTCGGTACCATCTGGAAGTGGATAACACTAGTGTTAATTAAACATGAACGTCCCCTACGTAGTACGTATTGTAAGCAAGCAATTATTTATTGCATTTCATCATAGAAAAAAAAAATGATGGTGTACCTTGTAGCGACCTGGTGCGAATAAGGCCTGCCTCCATCAGGCCAGTAAAGACGTGCAAGACCCAAGTCGGCAATCTTCAGTATACCCTCGTGGTTAATCAGCAGATTAGCTGGTTTCAAATCCTGATGAGATGAGATGATAAATATAGGTAACTATTGAAATGTTGGTCGATCGGTTGCAAGCGCAACTGTCGAACAAGGAGGTCTCGAATTGGAATTTCGAGCAGAGGAACGCACGACGTAGGTGTAGTAAGTACATATTGGCATTTTAGTCACAGAATATGAAAAGAATTGGTTTCCAAAATATATCAGAATGAGTTTAAAATCGTATCAGTTGTAAGACAATAGGCTTACCCTCTGTAATAGTGCTTTTGCTTTCTGGTTACGTAAATCTAAGTTAAAATTTAAAATCAACTTACTCTATGCATCACATAATGCGCGTGCATGTATCTCGTGCCTTTTAACAGCATCTGTGCATACGTCTTGACCCTGGGCAAGGTGAGTTCCTGCTGTGAGTGATGCAGCATATCCCAGAGACCTGAGCACATGTACTCCAGGACTAGGACCAGGCTCATACCTCGGGGAAACATGTCGTAGAGTTTTATAATCTGTCGAATATAGTGATATAGGTATCTTAAAAATAGTAAAAAATTGTTGCATAATTTTACAAACACAATAATGTTCCTAATTTTACATACACCTCACAGAAAACCGACGTAAAGCAATACTTGCATGTTTAGGTTATCAGACGCCCAATTACGCCGCTCCCCAATCTCCCTAAACCCCGAAACCACAAGTCCACAACAATCTTTACGTTCCTAATCCCCAAAAGGCTGGTGTTTCGGGCGTCCATGGGCGCCCCCGATTACTAGATCAAGATACGTATGTAGAGTAATTGCGATTTTGAACATGATGTAGCTTTAAACTTAGACTGATCTATATATCATTGGGTGAGGCCTATGTTCTGCAGTGGAAGTCTTGTATTAAGGTTGAAATGATGGAGGCTAAACTGTCGTAATAAAACTTACATATTTGCATCTAAGCAACTGCAGTGCTTTTATTTCTCTCATCACGTTTACTGGAATTCCATCCTCGAGGTTTTTTATCAAGATCTTCTTGAGGGCCACTTCACGGCCAGTCGGTACGTGCTTTGCTTTGAAAACTAACCCGTGAGCCCCCTCACCAATTCGGCCAATCACCGTATAATTCGTTACATCATTATCCATCTTAATTTATTTAAATAGATTTACCTATAAATTGAAATTAAAGAATTTCTACTCTGCAAGAGCAAAACGTTGACATTTACAAAACAAACAGGATTGCTGTGTTGATATGCGTTGCTATAGTAACAGATTGACAGTTGATGGCTGCTTTTGTTTGAAGGGAGTCAATAGGATAGGAAAGAATTTCTAGCACAGTCACGTTATGAGTCCTATTCCTATGTAAATGTACCTACCTAACCCGAATCCTAACCCGGGGTTTCATCTGTGGTGGTCTGATGGCTCTTTGGGGCGCGCGCGGAACGCGACACGCCGTACGCTCGGGTCTGTTTCTGGTCGGATGGTGAGCCACCCATGCTCGCCTTCCGCAGGCCCGCGCTTATGGTGGCCGGAGATCGTCCCGCGATCCCCGACGCCCCGTGTGTCCTTCCCGATGGCTGGGTTGCGAGGAGGCAGCGCTTGGCTGCCTCACGCGGCCCGCCTCCTCCTTAGCTAGCATGGCATCCCAGTCCCCCTCGCTCCGCATCATAGCCCGAACCCGGGGGTTAGGGTGACCCTATTCTATTACTACAGATTTACCTCAATGCGCTGTTTTTGGAAAAACTGAAAAACATTGCTTTACCATAAATATCATACCCGAGAATCGCAACCCGTGGATACTCAGTAGTCACAGTACGACCACCTAATTAACCAGTGTACTGGTATTTACTTGCACTACATACGCGAGTAACGCACTACGCAAGTGCTTAATATCTTCTGAAATTATGTAATGTTTCAAAGAAGCTTGCTACGTTTGTCATTATAAGGTACGACATAAGAATGTCTTTTGTACCCATTTGTACCTACTTTCAGATGTAACATATTAAATATTTGTTCAGTTGTAGATGCTATATTCTATGTATTACATCTATTGTGTTAGGTATTTTCTTTAAGGTTCTCTATCAGTGATTCAAGTTATTAGTTAACAGACCCATATCTAGAGCAGACTTCTGTGATCCAAGTGAACAAATTATGGCGTTGAAAGTATTTTGTGCAGTGTTTTTATTGATATTTTGTAATGTAGTGAAAGGAACTTCGATTCTTGCACTCTTCTCGTCCCTATCCTACACTGATCATCTAGTCTTTAGAGGCTATATATCAAGACTAGCCTTGAGTGGACACGATATAGTCGTCATGACTCCATACCCTGGACATTTCCAATTCCCAGAGATAGAGAAGATCATTGAACTCGATGTCAGCGAAGAATCAGCGCCGTTCTGGGATGAGTTCAAACTGTTAATGACCAATACTGACGACTACCATCCCAGACAAAAGGCTATAAATGAATTCGCAATAAAGCTGGCAATAGCTCAGTTGAAGTCAAAACCAATGATGTCTCTTTTCATCAATCCGAACTTGAAATACTTCGACCTGGTTATCACGGAAGCTGATGTGCCCCTACTTTATGCGGTAGCAGAAAAATATAAAGCTCCCCATATTGCGATCACAGCAACTAGCGGTAGGATCCACCAATATGAATCAAAGGGCAATCCCATACATCCGATTTTGTACCCAGATGTGAACACTTTGAACTACAGGAATCTGGGTCGATGGCAAAAAATTATCGAATTTTATCGTCACTTTCACACGAGAAATGAATATTACAATAACTACCTTCCACTTTGTGAACTGGCCGCTAAAAAGTTATTTGGATTAAAGAGAAGTCTTCTTGAAGTTGAAAAAGATATTGACTTTCTGTTCGTTGCTGGAAACCCAGCTTTGATTGGTAACCGACCAAGTGTTCCAGCTGTTGTGTACGTCGACCGTATGCACATTAAACCGGGACTTAAGCTACCAAAGGTAAGTCAATCAATCTGCGTTTCTGTAAAGTTGGTAAGTGCCAAAGTAAGTAGGTAGGTATATTCGGAAGTTATTTATTTTTAACGATTTTTACTTTCAGGACCTACAAAATCTCTTAGATTCTGCAACTACGGGTGTCATATACTTTAGTGCGGGTGCAATCCAAGAAGCAGAACAGCTATCACTATCTCTATTACAAACGATGGCAGAAGCTTTCGGCGAAGTTCCATACACAGTGCTCTGGAGGATTGGTGATACGACGATGCTTAAGAAACCTGATAATGTATTTACTAAGTCTTGGTACCCCCAACAAGAAGTACTTGGTAAGTTAAGAAAAAAGAAACCCAATTTGCCTAGAAAGACTAGGTGTGGAAACTAAATTAATCGGTTTTTATAGCTCATCCCAATGTAAAGGTCTTCATAACGCACGGTGGCGCCCGGTCCTTAGAAGAAGCTGTATTCTACAAAGTACCAATTATTGGTCTCCCGCTTGTCAAATCTAGAAAAGTCTTCATTAATGAGATTACGAGACATGGGGCTGGAGAAATTCTGGATCCTTATAACTTAGATAAGGAAACTGTGAAAGCTACTATAACTAAGGTAGCCTCGAATGAGAAGTAAGTTCAATAATATTTGTAGCAAGCTCGTTCTTTTCATAACTGTTTATTTGTTTGTTTAATTATAATAATATCCACGAACGTTTTCCTCTCTTTGATAATATTTATACTTAGTGTTTTTTTATTTATTTTTTTTGTTTTCAGATACAAAAAAGCGATATTGGTGTTGAACAGTGCGGTTTTCGATCCCATGGTTTCTGACCCAGACAATGCTGTGTGGTGGACTGAATATCTATTACGTCACCGCAATGTACGTCTCCTTCGTTCTCCAGCAGTTGGTGTATCCTTCTTTGAATACTATCTTCTGGATGTCGTCTGTTATCTATTTTTGATTGCTTTTGTAACATTGTTTGGAACGTACGTAATAATACGAACTATTTTAAAAAGATTGCGTACTCGCTTCTCCCTGACGGGTGGAATAGAAACAAAAGGAAAGTTTAAGGCGTTATAATTTATTAAGTCAAACTAGAATCGTCACTAAGACTAAATATTTTGTAACTAATGATTAAATTAAAACAATATAAATACATATAAATTTGTGTTTTGTTTCCTTTATTTTATTTAAAAATTATACCAAGGACGTTGAAAAAAGAATTAAACACAAAAACAAACCATTTCTCGAAAAGGACTTTTAATCTCCATAATACAAAAAATGTACTCTGTGCTTTTAACGATAGAGCAAACAGGAAGCCTTGACTTGTCAGTGTCACAATGGTGTCACAGTTAAGTAGGTTGAAGAACGGAGTAAAGAATTATCTAACCCTGCCTGAGGAAATTACAATAAAATTGGTATCAATTACCACATTGTAGTATTGCCAGTAAAAAATAGCTGAAGTTGGCTCTTGGCAACTGTACTGTGCAAAAGTCATTAAATGTCAATGTCATTGTCAAAAACTTGTTTTGGTTTTGTGTTCCACTATTCTGTTTTGTAAATTCTTCCTGGAATATAAATGTCTTGTCAGTATTATTGATGAAATTAATGACGTGAAATTGCCTCTAAGCGTGGTACAATGACAGCTGTAAGAACATGTCCTGGCTTGTACTGCGGTCGCACTGAACTTGATGATGGGACGTGGAGTGACTGCGGTGCTTGCCCTCGAGGTTTTCGCACTAATTCCACCAGCTACTGCATGCCATGTACCGATAAACCGACTTTATATGATGGCCTGTATCTTGGGTTCATGGTTTTATTACCTATGGTATTGCATTGGTTTTTTATAGACATGGTTGCTGTGGCCAAGGGGTGAGTGTATTCAGCCTATGTATTAGGCGAGTCTTCATTTTTTAGCCCCTATGAATACGCTACTGATCTCATTCTATTCTATCAGACATTAACCTATCATAAACTCCCTTTTTTTTGTATAATTCTTCACAAAATCTGATTAAACTAATTAGAGTACTCAGTATAATATTCATTAAGATTTCATTTCAAATGAAAATTATAGTAAGAACACTAATACTCTCTGCAATGTCTTAAAAGATTGCTTAACTTTGCAGCACCAAAAACATTTTAGTTCAACACATATGTGCGTTTGTGGAAGTTGCAACAGGGACACTGGCAGCTTTACTAGTGCTGCCTCCAACAGGCACTATTGCTTTACATGTCTGTTCTCCTAAAGCGCTGTCTGACTGGTACACATTACTGCATAACCCTCAACCTGACTATAAAGAGACCTTGCATTGTACTCAGGAGGCTGTGTATCCTTTGTAAGTATCCTCTTTACTAGAAACTCCTTGTGAAAGTATTTTATTCCTTTTACTGTTGAAGTGTATCAACATAAACAGCCTGTAAGTGGCCACTGCTGACCAAACACCTCTTCTTACACTGAGAAGATTTGAACATTAATCACCTCACTTGTTCAAGACAGGTTGGCAACTTCAAGCCCAAGTTTTCTCACAATGTTTTCCGATACCGTTTGTCAATGGTGTATAATTAATTTTGAAATGGACAAAGAGTTGATAATATAAGAATATAACTGTAATACCAGCACTTATTCTATTATTACAGTTGATATCTTGTTAGATTCTAATCACTGCTAGTTCTTATGAGGATTTGAATAAATAGATACAACTATTTAAACTGTCAAACACCAAGCGGTCACCGGTGACCGCAACCTATTGTTCTATAATTGTGTCTACAAAACCGGTACTCGACGAGTTAAAGAACAATAGGTTGCGGTTACCGGTGAACGCTAAGTTTTTGACAGTTTAACTATAAATATAATAGGGTAGACAACTAAATATTATTTTAATGTCCGTCCGGTAGATTGTTTAAAAACATTAGATACATATTTTTTATTTTTTTATGGAAACAAATAATTTCGATGATATATTAATTCGAAACGTCACTTCTACGTACATTTTTATGTAGAAATGACGTTTTAGCCCCCACTCTTAAACTTTGATTTGTTATATCTAAGTATCATTTTTCATAAAACAAAATAAAAAAATATGTGTCTAATATTTTTTTTTTTACTAAACTGACGGACTAATTACATTTTTAATTTTCATACCACAAATAAACAACCATTTTACAACAGAACCACTTATTCAATTTTGAACAATATAAAATATTTTATTGCTTATTTAATTTTCCAGATACACGGTCGTCCTACTAATATATGCATTCAGTTTATTGATGACTATAACATTGAGGCCATGGTTGCTGACTTGGGACTCAGTCAATCCAGGCAAGAAGGCAATATACTGCGCGCTGTACTTCTATCCTATATTGGTGCTCATACATACTGTTGCTGCGGGATTGATTTGTAAGTATAACTGCACTACACACACGTCATTAGCAAATCTACATTTTCGTACTACCTTCGTATACTACTAACTTACTTTCGTATACTGGTTTTCCTTGAAAATTAATGCAATTAAGTAAGGTGATTTGTATTTCATATACACATTGTATTTGAGGGTCGTACTATGTGGTCCTATGTGTAAAATCTTATTTGAAGTAATAATTAAACATTTTTGTTTAAAAGTACTGCAAGTAGGCATTTCAAATGATTTTATTGATTAAAAAAGATATATGTATGAGTGCTGACCTCTAATGAGTTGTGGGGTAATAATAATTAGGTAGTTTTAAATTAATAGATTAATGATAATTACAAAAAAATACAGATTTAAATAAATTATAGGTTTTTTCAAAATGGTATTGAATTTTTCACATCGTTTTCAGTACTAGGTTTGTAAAAGTATGTTACAACTTACATTAGGTATATATGTTTTTTAAAAAATTACTTTACATCGGTAACAATTCCTAATGACTTAATTTCTCTATTCCAGATTGTTCATTCCCATACATCATTATAATAATATCAATGATGACATCAGCATCACATTTCTCAATCAAAATCGAGCAGACAGCACCAGCGCTCTTGTTGTCATCTCTGACCAACACGAGAAACCTGATTATACTATTGGGTCATTGGGTCATACATGCTTATGGGATTATATCCCTGACTGGTTTCAAGGAATTGTGGTACCTGTCTCTGGTACCTGCGCCAGCTTTGTTCTACATCTTAACTGCGCAGTTCACTGACCCTATGAAGATTCACAGCGATTGACAAGAGCGCCAAGCATTCGTAAAGCTGGTTCTACATTGACTTTTGATAGTGGTTCTGTGATTTCCTTTGTTGTATGTAAATATAATAGTACAGTGATGTCTCGTCTTCGAGTGGGGGCCAGTACGAATGCTTAATGGCGGTCTCAGGGTGGACAATCTTGTTGTGTTTATAAAGCAAAATTCTCAGGTATATTATAGAGTTTAAGCACCTCATTGTATCTCTGCGGTCAGGTGTGATTAAACATTTTGTTGTTTAAACTGTCAAACACCAAGCGGTCACCGGTGACCGTAACCTATTGTTCTATAATTGTGTCTACAAAACCGGTACTCGACGAGTTAATGTCCAATAACGTCATTGTTTATAGTAGTCTTAGTTAAATTATTATTAATTAGTGTTTTTGTAAGTTAAGGAAGGCGAATCTAGGATGTTATGGGATCTCAGGCTCATCCTTAGTCCTGTTTGAAGATTTATACGTGTATTTTGAGTTGTGAACACATTTACACATTGTATGCATGAGATCAATGCAAGATGAGCCTTATAACTAAACTAACTTACGTCATAGGTCTCTTTCCCGCTTACTTCAATGTTGGTATTCGACTGTATTAATTTAGTGACGTAGGTAATTGTACATAGTGGTTTAATGTTTATGTGTTATAGTGTACATATAAGAGTATGTATGTATATGTATAGTTTATTCAGTAATTTGTTAAGAAATAATTTATCTTTTTAATTGCAAGCTTCGATGTTGATATTCGAACTGTTATTAGATCATGATTCACAAGGTTATGTAAGTTCTATACTTATCTGATTATTTTATTTATACACATTAGTATTTGTATAAATAAATCACTGAAGATTGATTATTGGCCTTTTTTGACATCAAGGCATTATTGGCCATTTTTTACTAAGAACCACCCCGGTTTCCGATCTTGGGTTTGAGCCTGCAGAAAGCACAGCCTCCGAACTCGTGGCAGCCTTTCTTGCTAGGCGCCAGCTCAATATTCACAGAAGAGTGAGGTGTCGAAGTCTCGAGGGTTGACACAACGCGCAACATCTCAGTTCCTTGAAAACGGGGTAACGAAGAGCAATTTCAGCTCTCCTTTCGTCCTTTTTTCGCAAAAAAACACCACTGCATTCCACGACTCTGCACTGCCGACCATTTTTTAAATAACAGTTAGCAGTGACAAGTCCTCACCGATCTCTGATATGAAGGCACGACACGGCTTATCCCAAGCCACTCATTTCACGAGGGTAGGATGCGCCATATCTTCTTCGCAATGATGGCATCAAGTCCGTTAAGTCCGTTCAGTCCAGGGGCGTAGCTAACGCTGTATCTGCCGTATCAATTATACGGGGCCCCCGAACTACAGGGGCCCCCAACGTGCCTAAGCAAAAATTCATAAAAACTTCCCAATTTTTATTATATTTCAGTAATCACAAAAGTCAAAATAAACGTTTTTTTTTTCCACGGAAAGCATGCATTCAAAGGTTGGCAGAAACTTAAGAAAAATAAAAGTAATTAAGGTCCGCTAATTAGGGCAGAGGGAGTTGCCTGAAAAGATTTTTGGTTTTCACACAAATTATAAGTATTTTATGTAAAAAAAATGTCTTGTAAGTAATGTTTACCCTTCAAGGGCCCCTAAACAACGCCCCCCCAAGGCACGCTACGCCACTGGTTCAGTCCGTCAAATCCGTTACTTGAGCTGATTGGAATCTGACACATGCGTGCTGCCATCAGAACAGGGTCCGCTCAAAAGGTTGTAGATCTTTCCTTAAAATACCACTACAGAATCAATTTGCATGGTTTTGGCACATTGTATAATATGTCTGGACTTCTTTATAAGAGAATGACCTCTGAGTCTGTTTCAGCGTTTCTTCTCAGAGTAGTCAGTAAGGAAATGGCGGCCCTAGCCTAGTAATTTAAAGATTGACGTGTAAAAGTTTTACTTTATAACCTATTTGCAGAAATAAATATCATTTCATATTATATCATTTCATTTCATTTCAAGCGTCTGCCTTCCTGCTTATGCGACACACGTACTTTCTGAAATATACATACGTTACCCCGTAGCGCTTGGAACACAGGAAGCCGTGCTTTCTCCTGATTCCCGAGCTAATCATTAAGTACTGGCCGGACCGCCTTGATGGTGTTTAGCCCAACAGTAGGGCGATGAAGCCTATCCCGCTCATCCGCCACTAAGACCAGTCGTGATACTTCATCAACAAGCCAGAACAACGAAAGAGTAGGTACTACTCCTTTCTGTTTATTCTCCATGGTTATGTATAAAACCGTAGGATCACACCAAAGAGCGGGTCATGTTAAATGCAAACCTCAGGACAAAGGGCAGGGAGGCGAAAATAAAAAGAAATGGAGCCGTTTATAGGCAGTCTCATTATTAAACGTTTTCTTCCCTCGGCTCGCGGAAAAGCCGCCATCACGCAGCATTATTTGCTTATTTGTTTACTTATCTGTGCGTGTATTTCGTTATTAGATCTCATCCCCACGGGCCGCTCGACGTATCGTTTGTAAACGTTTTGTTTACGTTTACTTTTATGTTTAGCGTAAGCCATCCTAATTGAAGTCATTTTTTCATTGTCACCGATATTCGGTTTGTTGGCACTGTAACCTAGAAATGGGAACGAAGAATGTTGACCTTTCCATCTAGGCACCTGCTTCTGCTCTTTGAAAAATAATAATTGTCATCGATGTCGCAAATGCATATAATGTGAGTATCAGCGACATCTATGATGTACTTGGAAAACTAAATTGATATAAATATGCCATTGTTGATCAACCACTATCCTTTTAGTTATTGATCCATCCGATAGATGGATGGGTAGGTTCTGTATCACGCAAACAAAGTTTTCATAAGAAATGAACGTGGTCAATAAATAGGCGACATTCTTATCCCACCCCTCCTTATGTCCTTTGATCCATCTGTCATAGTGAATCAAAGGTATGCTTCGGCTACTAATAATATATTGCACCGTAATGGTGGTACCATATCACTTACGTCTTCTCGCGGAGATTACTGGATTCTCGACAGCGACACGTTGAATCCTTTCTCCATAAAGCGTCCTGTTGCTCGGTTCAGTCGAGCCTACTATAAGTATCAACTGCTAATGCTTATAGTAGACATCGAGGACTGCCAGGACAATTTGTGGGCCGTGTGTAGTAAGATACTGCGCTGGCTGTTGGAACAAGTATTCAACAAGGCAATGTCAAGTAATACCAGACTCGCATCACTGGTCGTGAAATTAGAAGGCGTAGTGAATATGTTGTGTCGGAAGACTTGATGACAGATTGGGTAATCCTCACAACGTTTATAACCCGCTGGGTTATAAAGGTTATTCCTTCCCCGTTCTCTTCGCCCCTGACATCTATATGATATAATTTCAATGTTATTACCATGGTAATACAATGATAATACATCATTTAGATATCTTTTTCCTGTTTGAGTATCGCAAGCGCAGCTGTTGACATGACGTAATCAGACTGGACTGGGAATAACATATTAAGTTCCGCGCCATATTGGGAGGTCATACCCATCGAAGGAATGTTCGTTTATAGCGTTTTGTTTACGTGTGCTTGTTTAGGTACACGTTTAGCGTAATTACAGTGTTTTTTTTGAAAATGAAAATATTTTCGCGTTGTCATTCCATTATTCATGACTTGCCTTCATGCACATAATATTATTTTGAACTAAGTAGCTAGATAGGCTACGGCTATAAGTGGCAAATTATTCAAGCGCGGTACCCGTTGCCCGTTATAAATTTTACTGAGGAACTCTCGATCTCTAACAAGTTTGCCCATTGGAGTATATTCCTGGATATATGCAGTAACCTAAGTGCCACAGTGCCATGCACGATGCTGTTTACGCCCTGATTGGTTAGTTCACTAGAACGGCACTTAAAGGCTGTTGATGATGATGATCTATTTCTAAGGACAGTTTTAAGGGGGGGCCTTAAAACTGTTTGTGTGGGATCCGTACCAAATGCTACCCTTTCTAAGGGCTGGCTAACTTTCATTCTAAGTGCCCGACTTCATTTTAAGTAATAGTGATCTGTATGTTTTTTTATAGTTAATAGGATGACGTTTAGCCACCATTTTCCACAGTGGTACCGTAGGTATATCATAGAAAAATTCATCATAATAACGATTTATACGTTGCTATGTCGACGTTTACTATGTCGTGGTGGCCCGGAGGTTTAAGACGCCCGCTTCTCATGCATAAGGGTGTGGGTTCAAAACCTACTAATGGCAAGTTCCAATGTGACTTTTTCCGAGTTATATGTACTTTCTAAGATTATTTAGACACCACTAACAAACGGTGAAGGAAAACGTCGTGAGGAAACCAGGGATTATAATATCTAATTATAAGTTTGTAATCACCAACCCGCATTGAGCAAACGTGGTAATCAATACTCAAACCTTCTCCTTGTGAGAAGAGGCTTTGCTCAGCAGTGGGCAATTTATAGGCTGTTGATGATGATGTTGAACGATTTGTAACCAAATTAATTATAACGATTAACCGATAAGGGACATAAAAATATAAAAAATTCACACATTATTTTATATTGCACTATCGACATTTTATTTAATTATTTTATATTGCGACTGCGACATACACTCTGGCGTATAAAGCGTCTATAAAACTTACGTAAAATAATACTTACTAATATTATAAATCGGAAAGTGAGTTTGTTTGTTTGTTCCGCTTTCACGCCGTAACTACTAAACCGATTGCTTTGAAATTTTGAAGACGTAAAGTTTTTATCCCGGAAAAATTTTATATTCTCGAGGGAAAATGAAATTATTATTGGTATAGATGGCGCTGTGTGTATTGGTATATGTCACATAGGCTACTTTTTATCCTTTTGTGACGCCAGCGAAGCCGCGGGTAAAAGCTAGTTTTCTATATATTTTTTCGGGTATTAAGTGTATAAAATAGAAACAAACACACGGTTCGGCAATCATTTTAACTGCAATTGGGAATTTGTCTCTAAAAATAACTTAATGTTTTTAATAAAACTAAAACTGGTTGAATAATATTGAATGTTATTATGTTTTCGGCTTAGTCACGTAATAATTTGAAGAGGAAATCGACTAGTTTCAAGCCATGCTAGAGGCTCATATTCGTGAGTAAGCCGAAAACATAATAATTTATATAGTATGTCCCACGAAAGTTACAATACAAATATTGAATGTGTTGAATTAGTTAGAATAAGAAGTGATAAGAGAACGTAGCCAAACTCGGAGCAGCTCGGCATTATGAATTTTTTTAAATGTACATTTTTGAAGTATTTTTCACTATATATCCATTATTGATTACACAATTTTCCTTGTTTTATTATTAGGTACGTAGGTTTTTGACACGGTTGGCGTAATGGCTGCATAACTGGCTGCTGTGCAACGTGTCACGAGTTCGATGCCTGCACAGAACAAATTATACAAGTTAAATTGAATGTCTGTACAAGAAAAGCGAAAGTCAAAAAACAGAAAATAAAAGGTACAGTAAGTATATAGCTTACCTTTTTTTTTAAATTAATAAGTATTAGTTTTATATTACGACGTCATTATTTAACTTATTTATTTACATAATATGGAATACCATGACATCGCGTCCTTTATCCCCGAAGGGTTAGGCAGAGGTGCACATTACGGCACTTAATGCCACTATACAATGTAACACCCACTTTTCACAATTTACGTAATGAGTCCCATGTAATAGGGGGTGTGCCATATACCGGGTACATTTTCTGACTCCGTGCTACTTCTGGGATTTTTAAAAACCCAGTAATACTTCTCCCGACCCGGGAATCGAACTCGAGACCCATTGCCCGGCAGTCGCAACTTGCG